GGATTTTTTTTTAAATAGGAATTTTCTAACTTTTGGGACAATATCTGATAAAGAGTACATTTATATACATGTTTAAGCCAGAATGATTTTAAATTTAAATATGACTTCCTTACAACTTTAATAAAGTAAAATTCAGCCTATTCCTTTTTTAAAGAAACACATAAATGTAAAAAATAAAAAAAAAAATTGAAAAAAAAATTTAAAGAAAGATATAAATCTGAGAAAACAGCAAAGTTACTTAAAATCTCTTATGACCAAAATGTTTTTGAGGGTTGAAATTCTGGATCGCATTTTTTTCCCCAAGTATAATTCAGAAAAGGAGCAATCTTTCACCCAATATTGTAGTTTAGAAATGGGCTTTGAAATAGTTTTACTCTGGGATGTAGTTACAAAAATGTTTGTTTACAGACCCCCAAAACGTAAGTTCTTCTGGATGATATACGGGTTTGAAAACTATTTTTAGCATTTGGGCAGAAGCTTGTGTTTGTCTGCATGGGATTCAAAAATATTATTCAGGAACTTCTAAAAAAAAACGTATGTCCAATTTGCAAATCAATGCTGTTGCCAAGTATTAGTGGAGAGGAATTTTTATACCCGTTGAAAGATGGATCAATACTTGAGTGCAATGAGCAGATAATTTCCATTAATACAGACAGGTCTGCATCAGTAACATTGCAAACACGTCTGAGGAAGTGTAACTTTATTTAAGACTCTCCATTAGAAAAACCCATTTTCTTCAACAAACCTCCTTTTTTAGCTGCAATAGTGCACGCATTGATTTAAAAACCCCTCTGAGTTTGGGTGAGTATGAAAAGGGCAAAGTGGGGTGGTTGTTTTACGGGGGGGATAAGTAGGTCAGATAGTGATTTGGGTCAGAGCATCCAGAGATTAACCTTTACTCCCTTCTACTCTCCCATCTTCCCAGCCTCCCTTTTACTGTATAAGTGCATTTCCGTGTGAGTAAAGCAGCCGGGCGTGTGGGGAAATGTGTTGCCAGGGTTTAACATGTTGTATGGCTCTCTCTGAGGAAGACCCAGGAAACGCAGAGTGGAAAGAGAAGAAAAACTCAGTCTGAGCGAAGAAGCTATGAGAAAATTAACAACATGTAACTGAGAAATACGATATAAAAGACAGAAGACTGGTTGAGAGTGGGCAGACATTTTTGCTTCTATAGCTACTGCATTGTAAATAGAGGCTAAAAATAGAAAGGAAGAGGCAGAGCTCTTCTGACCAGCGGAGAGTGAAGACAGAGGAAGAAAGATGGGGCTTCTCTTCATTAAACCGGCAAGGAGATGATTTCAAGGACTGAAACTTCATGATGCTTGGAGATGGTGTTTAAGCTTTGAAAATCAGCATATCTCTTTCAGCCCTTCAGAGGGCTGGAAGCACCTGTGACCAAAACAGATGATGTCATACCAGTCTGCATTTGAACACATCTGGTCAATAATATCTAATCAATACAGAATTAGCCTGGATGGAAATATGTGTCTATGCTGGGCTCCGGTACACTGCAAGGGACAACAGACTAATGTGTAAAACAAAACAGCCTCATTTAGGCTTAAAAGTGTGCTACAACTCATATTAGGACAAGATAAAACGAGACCTGCTACCATTAATAACATATTTCTTGCATTTATAATATAAGAAAACAACTGCAGAAGGAGCCTAATTCCTAAAAAGACAACTTGAAAAATATCCTTAATACCAATGGCACAACAAAACCTCTTCATACGGACACATGCAGTGTCATGAAATATGTTTTAAAGTATCCTGAAAACAAACTGTTCGACAGAACAACTTAATCAGACTCCTTCATGCTATGATGAAACAAAAAACCCTTAAAAAGATCTAAGGACCTCGAATCTAACAACATTGCTTCAAAAAGAACTCTATATACCTGCGGAATAACAAAAATAAACTCCTTTAGAATCTTAAATGCTACAATAAATAAAAAAAACCTGCAATGTAACAAAACACTTCAAAAGGACCCAAATATATACAATGTAACAAAACATCTTTAAAGGGACCTAAAACACCTAAATTGTGAAAAAAGAAATGACCTCATATGCCTACATAGTAGCAAAACGTCTTCGGGAAGACCCATATTTACAGAGAAACACAACAATTTCATTTGGACACTAAACACTACAGTGAAATACACCTTAAAAGATCCCAAATACCTTAAACATTTAAAAAAAATATCTTCAACCTACAATGTAACAAAAATGACTCTATATATCTATATAGTAACAAAACATCTTTGCAGACACCCGTACCTACAGTGTAACAGACCCTACAATGAAACAAAAACCTTTATAGGACCTGAAATAACTAAAATCCAACAACATTTGTTCAAAAAGAATCCCATGTACAGTATCTAAAGTGTAACAAAATAAATTCCCTTTGAACTCAAAAATCCTAACTGAAACACAAAACTTCAAAGGTAATGTAGTAAAAATGACCCTACCTGCCTGCATAGTAGCAAAACAAAACAAAAACTAAAGAGTAACAGAAAAACTTTACAAAAACCCTTAATGCTACGATGAAACAAACAACTTTAAAGGTCCTGAAAGACCTAAAATGTAACAAAACATCACCAGAAAACAACCAAACATACAGTACAATGTAAAAGAACAACTTAACCCTACATGAAACAGAGCTTTAAAATGACTTAAACATCTAGTCTGACAAAACGGATGCAAAAAAATCTTATAGTTTATCAGAAAAACTTCTTTGAAACACAAAACTCCAAGAAGAACCTCAAATGTAACAAAGCATCTTCAAGGAGACAAACAAATGAAAAAGGACCCTAAAAGCCTGCAATGAAATTAAAACATAAGGCATCTAAATGTGCACAATGGAACCAAAAAGCTTTATCAAAACCCTAAATACTGACTTTTTAAAAAATGACTTTAATGAAACAGAAATGCTGTAAAAATCTGAACCAAAACATGGAAAAAATATCTTTAAACTGACTCTAAAACATAAAGTCATGTTACCAAATATATTAGAAATGTCAGCACAGGATGAGAAACAAAAAATAAACAAAGGCTAAACCTACTTGTGGAGTTCTAAATTGCATGTAAATATTGTAGTAAATGCAATATAAATGTATCAATTTAGGTACTCAACATTTTCCCATGGAACCAATTCTCTATTTGTATTAAATAATCGAAATTGTAAAGGTCAAACTGAATTTCTTTATCGAACCCAGTTGCAAAAAACAAATTGAATGAAAAACATTGTTTGACTTTTTTAGTGTATGATTTGTAATCTTACAGAAAACTTTGTCTGTGTTCGCTGAATGTATCTATGAAAAGGTGTCCTTATATCCTTATAATTCGTCGGACTGGGAATGTTTGGCCCTCGTATTCTTCCATCTACACCGGCCCACTTATGGACTCCATCCCCCATTCTACCGATCTATCTTCTTGCATCACACAACAACCATCACCAAGACTTCTATAATGCGGTTTTACTGGCTTTGGTTAGTAACACGGACGCGACAGTGACTGCTGTTGCATAACGTCCACACTCACCACATCAGCAGGGTTGCCAGATGTCATTGACTCACGTTTTCCAGCCCAAAAACGTTCATAAACCACCTGGATATACGAAATCTCGCCCAATTTGAACCAAAGTCTATTGATCTCTTAGGCCATAAACCTAAAGAAAAACATTTTTTACCCATATAAGGCCGTCCTAAACTGCCAGGTTGGGAAACATCCCAACCTGGCAACAATGCATGTAAGACGGGAAACGTTAGCCTTTAGATGCAAAACCACATCATGCACCGCAACATATTTTTGCAAAATATTCACACATAAATTCGTCAAATATAAGAGGAACATCATAGTTTGGTTTAAAGAAAGCATTTTAGTTTTATTATAATTCAGTTTGTTGCAAAGATTTTACAGTTTGAAGAAATAGAAAATTACACCATATGCCAACCGTCACAAGGATGTGCATGACAAGGAAGGGCTATATATACTGCATGCATCATTTAGGAAGTCCTTGAGTAATTTACTGGTACAGGTAGGAGCTTCGGCCAGAGAGGAAGCGTTGGGGCCGCTATGATTTAAGGAGGACCAGTCCTCGCACGCTGAAACTAGGACCGGCCCACTAGGCACATGCCTGGTATCACAGATTACCAGTCCAAACCTGTCCAGGGGTTTATAGCACTGACCAAACTTACATTGAAAAAATAATGCAACAGCTTTCGGCATTAATTTAATCATATTTAGTTACTTTCACGCAATTTATATTCCTGCTAACATGAAACAATTGTGTGAAAGAAACTAAATATGAATAAGTAAATGCCAAAAATTGTTGTATTATATTTTTCAGTGTAGCATCTAGGTGCTTCTGGATTATTTTAAATATACCTTTAAAGTACAAAGATTAGGATATCTTTCTTTGTGTTATGTGTGAAGCAATTATACACTTGAATGACAACTTGATTCATTAAAATTTGTGTTTAAAAAAGGAATATGCTCACTTTTTCTTAATTATCTTTAATGTATTAAGTAAAATAAAAAGGTTGTAAGCAGTTTTTAAATCTGTGGCAAACTCCATAACTTGACTTTGAGCTCAATAAAATGTGTCACACCAGCCTTAATTCTATTCCAATAGTTTGTTTTATCGTTTGGATCATGTCTACAAGTACAACTACACACAGATGCACCAGAGAGGAAATAGAGGAGAGGAACAACAGAAGATGAATGCAAGTTTTATGCAACAACCTTGGGTTCTTATAGAAACCACAGAAAAGGAAGTAAATTGTGCTACAATAGATCAGGTCCCTTAGAAAGTAGATTTCATGCCTAAATAATCATAAAATCCTGCGCAGAGTGCGTCAGGTTGCCTTCAAACCAAACATGGAGCAAAAACTGAACTCCAACATCACAGTTCATGCTAAATTTCTCCTTTGTGCTGAAAAAATAGTAGAGGATTTTTGATTGAAAATGATGAAGGTTAACAGAGGTAGTCGCATATCTTACCTCACTGATGCGCCGCTGTTGCTCTGCTCTGCAAGTGTGAAGATGCAGTTGAACACTGCAGCACCGCAGACCGACCGACAGCCGCTTCAAATTTCCCGTCCGGCCCAGAAGGAGCGCCCCTCGCGTGCGTGCGCCTTAATTGATCTGCGTGCGCGCGGGGTCCGCCGAGAGACAGATGAAGGATAAAATCCGCAGGATTCTGAGTGGAAACGGGTGGCGAGCAGCTGTGAGGGTGTCTGGAAGAGGCTGGCACCACAGCTGCTTGTTTTTCAGGTTCCTGTTGATGCTGAGGCGGTGAGGGGGGAAGTTAAAGAAGTGGTGCGCCTCGGTGCTCGCTCTGCTGTGGACTCTCTACCGGGAGGGATCCTCCTATATGAGCGTCTGAGAGGGGGAGGGGGGAGGCAGTGGGAGTGTGCGTGTGTGGTCCCTGAGGATGGGTGGAGAGTGGACCGGCTTCACCCATTTAAAGGACAGAAAGCCCTTAAACTGTCTGCACTCTCCTCCTGGTTGCCCGCAGAACGGTGTGGACACCAGTTTTACCCTCATATGTCGAGAGAATAAAGGGGGGTGCTGAACATAGCAAGCAATTTTACAGTAAACCTGTCTTATTTTGTCACTAATTAGAATATAGGAGATCGGTGTTGGTTCTCACTCATCACATCTGAGCCAGAAGGAGCAGTGGAAAATAATCTGGACTTAAACTTTAGACTAGATCAAAGTTAACTGGTCATTTTATTTAATGAGAAGACATTCAGCATTTTTTGAAAGCCCAGTTCTGCCATTTGAACGAGAAAAAGGGCATTTCATAGGGTTATCAAAGAATTGTACTCTGAAAAGTATAATTAATAGCTGGACCTTTGTGGCCCACTGTTAAAAATGGGTGCTAAAGTATTCTCTCAGGAGCCTAAACGCCTCCTCAAGTTCCCTCTTGAGAGCCAAATCGTATGTTTATGTGCCCTCTCGGGAGCCAAGATTGTCATGATGTATTTAAGAGATCTGACCCACATACAGAAAACCACTCAGAGAAACCAGAGAAAAGTTTAACAGGTTTATTGAGGGGTTCAAAGTAGAGTCCTGCACGGGTCGAGTTTTACCAACCTGCAACCGCCCGAACCCGTTAGGATGACTACCGAACCCGACCCGTCACCCGCGGATATCTTCAATTCAAATCCGAACCCGACCAGTTGATATTTAACCCACAACCCGACCCGTTAACACATCAAGTAATAGGCTATAGTACGCTGCGCTGCAGAACAGCGCCATTAACACTGCAGTAGACGTGTATGCACTGACTGCGGCCTTTTTGGAAGGAAGCCCACACTGCCGGCAAGGCTTTGAGCTACAACAAGGGTGACCCTAGTGCCTGATTAATATAACATTTCTGATGTCCATAACAACACACACGCATAAAAAAAAAATCACCAACTACTCGCCCGCACTAAAAAAAATATCTGCCTGACTTTATTTTTATTTATGTATTTTTCACCCGCAAAAGAGCATTTTAGCGGGTGACCCGTCGGGGACCCGCGGGTACCCGACCCATTGCAGGACTCTAGTTCAAAGGGTTGGTTTCGGGAAACTCAGAGAGCTGGTGAACCGGAACTGGAAGTGAGAAGGGAAGTTCACAGAGGTTAGTTCAGGGTCCGTGGGAACTTTGAACGACGTCTTGCAAACACAGGGGCAAGGTTTCTTCCCTGAATCCAGTCAGTGTGGGTTTTTCCAGAGATTAAGAGGCTCATTGGAGGGCGGACAGGTCTTTGGTTTGGTTGGTTCCTGAAGTGCATCCTGAAGTGAATCCCCTGCTCAGTGTGAAGCACAAGCGATCCTTCGAGGGGGAGAAGGCCAAACATCCAGAATTCAGGATGACTTCCTGCCAAAAGGCAAAGACAAAAAATCACGTTAGGCTCAGAGAAACAAAAACTCAGATAGACTCAGCTAAACTCATCTTGGCTAGAGTACCCAAAACTAGCAAACACTCTGGCGTCGAAGTAGTGACAGTCCACCGCTTAAGAAGTCCTCAATAACAAGCCAACCAGCCGCAGGTGTGTGGGAGGACCAACAAGAACAGGGCGCCACCTGGTGGTGAAGGGGAAAAACAAAAGCACAACCCACACAGACTGGATTCCTAACAAAGATATTTGTTAAAGTGCTCTTTAATAGTGTTTAATTCATATATTCTTTGATTCTGTTGTGAAAGCATGTTCAATGTTGAGACTGGAAAAAGGGGGGTTTTCATGTTAACATGTTTTATGCCTTTAATTATTGTATTTAATTATTTTGCATTTTTCTATTCCCATGGTATCAAAAATGGTGTGGTGTATCATATTTTTCCTGGGTATCAGTAATGAGTTTAGAATTTGGTATTGTGAGGATATCTGGTTCTGACGTGACGACAAAGCTGCATGACGCTGGAGAAGCGCAACAGTAGCATAACTGCGGTAGCAGCAGCTTTTAATGGAGCGCTCCATGGAAAGTTTAAGTGTTCTTTTTCTGTTGCTGTTGTTCAATAAAAGTAAGTTTTAAGATAATTTGAGGCGAGAATATTATACTTTAAAGTAGGGGTGCACGATATTGGGAGTTTGGCCGATATCCGATATGCCGATATTTTAAAACTCATGTAGCCGATAACCGATATCGATACCGATGTTAAAGCTGGACAAAAATAAGTAGTCATTGAAAATAGCAGTTTTGTTATCCATTTCTGACACTTTGAAAAATAATATACTCAAATATATTTTCATATGCTGATATCAAATTGATTTTTAAAAACGCGGTATCGATCTATTTTACTTTCAAAATCTCGTGAAATTTCATCGTTCTGTTACAAACTCTCGTGATATTTTGCAAATTCTTGTGAGATTTTGTTAGTAAAATAGATCGATACGACGTCAATATATCAACATATAAAAATATGGCAAAATTTCGTGAATTTTCCGGGGATTTCGTAGCATAACGATGACATAAAACAATATTTCATTAGTAAAAGAGATTGATATGGTGTTTTTAAATGGCAATATATCAGCATATGAAGATATTGTGATATTTTAATGTATCAATATTTTTTCTCTCGTCTTTAGAAGTTTTTAAGTCTGTAAAAAAGAAGTTTTTGAGGAAGAAGAAGTAGTAATTTTTTTTTTTTTTTTAGACTTTAGAAACTCAGAAGCTGATCAAATATCGGGTTAAATATCGGTGGGGTGGCCGATGTCTGATATTCAGTTTTAAGGCCGATACAGGCCGATACCGATAGGGGGCCGATTATATCGTGCATCCCGACTTTAAAGTGTCACCATATGGTCCATTTAGCGATTTAATGCGTAATTAAAAAAGACATTTCTGAAGTTGAGAGGATCGCAAGGCTAACAGCAGCCAGGGCTAACCGCAGCCCGTCTGCAGCGGCCCTCTCTCTGCATAGTCATGTTTGACGGTCCGCTGGTTCTGATGGCTATTTTTTACTCAGCTTTGGAATCAGTTTTGGAAGGATTGGACTTGGGGTTTTCGTTTAAACATGAGCAGGAAGAGGCTCTACGCTCATTCATTTCTGAGAAGGACGTATTTGCCGTTTTACCGACAGGCTGTTTGTTTACACTCCTCCACCAGCTTTCTGTTGTGCTAACTATATCACAGTCAGTTGCGCTCATTGGTCAGAGCGTTGGCCAATAGGCACAGACATGGTTTTTAAAAACAATGGGTCGTTTTCATCAAAAAAATCTTCTAATGTCTCATTCATCGGGGTCAGACTACATTACACATTTAATATCACATTTAGTCTGGTTTACCAGGCTAAGATGTTGGAGATTGGCCTATTTTTCAGTGTAGTCCTGTTTCTCTGACTGTGACTGGCTGGATGTGCTCTCTTCATCCTCTGTCATGGGAGCTGGCTCAGAGCTCATCTGCCTGGCTGTGTGTTTCCTGGATGGGGCCGCCTGTGGAGCTGGTTCACAGTTGCTTTTTGTATCTCTGCTTCTGTCTCCTTGAACCCCAGTCGGCCTCAGCAGATGACCGCTCACACTGAGCCTGGTTCTGCTGGAGGTTTCTTCCTGTTTTTCCTCTCCACTGTCGCTACAAGCATGCTTAGTGTGAGGGATTACCTTCGAGTCAATGATTCTAAAGTCATAATTCTATGATACAAAGCCATTTCATGGACTTTTAAGTCATTAATTATGATATTCAGTATCATAAGAACACTATCAAGGCCTGTTGACAACGCACCTTAGCGCACATTTCCTCTTTAATAAGCATCTAATAACCATGTAACATGCGGGCTAAGCCTGCCAACGGTGCTTTCATCATTATAGTGCACTATGGAGTTTATTTCTTTGCTAAACCAAAAAGAAATGTAGCTTAGCTATTGGCAAGGCGGTGTTTTTTTTGCCATTCACACTTAAATACCCATTTGTAGAAACTGGAAAGAGAACAAGATGGAGGGGACAGATTGGGCGGATTAGTGGAAAGAATCGGACCTTTTAGTTACAATTTTAGCACGGACCACTGTCTTCAATATGAGAATGTAAATAGGTTTTCATTTTACAATCATTTTTACTATGAATTCAAAATGAAATGTTTTTTGATTATGTTTTAAATGTCTTTTTCTTGCAAATTAGATTATGTTAATTCCTTATATTTCATGTATTTCCATGTAATTCATACTATATATTTAAAACTTAAACTAAAGATAAATAGAAAATTTTTTATTAACAATAAAGCCAAACAATATGAAACAATCTACTAATAAACCTTTATATTACTGTTATATTAACTGATCCACTTGATTGATTTTAGACTTTAAACATTGTCCTAATATAAAAAAGAAGCTTTTAAAATATTTTTATTTTTTAAAATGTGAAAATCATCACCAGTCTTCCACTATTTATTAGTAATTTATTTGATGAGAAAACATCATTGTTGTTGGGATCTGGAGGTCTGTCCACTTTCTCCACCAGAGGGCGTACGAGATCTCCTTGAGCCGGAGCTGATTGCACCACCTGTCGCTCGTCTGCTCATCAGGAGATCCGTATTTAAGGAGGCAGAGGACTTCCCTCCAGTGCCAGAGTGTTTGCCAGTAACGGTTAGCAAGCCTGAGCCAACCTGCCTGTCTGAACCTCTGACTCCCTGAAAACCTGAACCTGACCTGATCTGTTTTGTCCTCTCTGCTTCCTAGATTGAACCTGTCTGAAACCTGAAACCCTGAAGAGTTTCTCTGCTGGTAGTCTGCCTGTCTGTTCTCTGAAGAACCCTGGAGAATAATTCCTGTCAAAGATCTGCCTGCCCGCTCTCAGAAGATACTGAAAGGGAAACTCAAATCTGTTATCTGCCAACACTCAAATTAAGCTCTGCCTCCGCCTAGCCCTCAGCCTGCCGACAGCCT